CCATAACTCATTGGAAATTTCTGACCCTAATTCTTCCTCCCATAAACTTTTGATTGAAGATGTAGTAGGTAATTGGGAGGCCTGGAGAGTATTATAAATGCAGGAAATAATTTTCCCTTTACCAAAATAGTCCTTAAGGCAGGTGTCAAGACATGAAGGGCTAATTGTTGCAAATCTGTTTAAGTAGGATTGTACATAGTTCCTGACTTTTTTAAATTTTTTAAATTACTTCTACGAAGTTTGTATTTTTCCTGAATTTTTTCAAAGGAAATAAAGGTACCATCTTGAAACAGATCGCTTACTGTGTGAATTCCTGCATCTCTCCATTGCTGGAAAACCTTTATCTAATATGGAAGGTATAAAAGAGGGGTTGTCAGCTATGGGAATTAGTCTTCACCCCAAAATGAGTTCTAATTTGTTTCCAAATACGAATAACACTGCCAATGACAGGGCTGCTGCTGTAGATTTCTTTTTTACAGCTTGTTGGTGAAAGAATCACAGCACCAAGATTATACAGGGGTACATTCATCTTGTTCTAATCTGAGTCAGTCAAGTTGTCCGCTTTTATCGTTTAATATTATTGATATCATTCTGAGGTTAGCCGCCCAGTAATAGCAGCGGAAGTCTGGAAAGGCAAGACCCCCTACATTTCTAGGTTTGGAGAGATGTAGTTGTTTAATTCTATGGTTTTTATAATTCCAAATAAAGGGTAAAATAACCTCCTGAGGGCACTGAGGAGAGACGGGCACCGTGTAATGCGGTGTACATCGCTCTTCCCCAGAGGGAGCTGGCCCTCAAAAAGTCCTAGGCCTTAGGCGTCAGGACATGTACGACGAAGACTATCCAGCGATAATGACAGTCCGCAGACCCACCTTCTGCTAGAAGCCTTCGGCCTGGGAGCGCCACTCTGACTCTAGACTCTGCGGAGTACGAGAAGTGAGGCCCCCAGAATGATGGGCTGGAACATGGTGGTTGGGACTGCTCCGCCCAGCAGCCCTTGCTAACCGCCTCAACCTCCTCAAAGGAAGAGAGGTTAACGCGTGCTCTCACTCGAGAAATTTATATCCCAAGAGCCCCTGTATATCTAACTTTTCATAGTCAGACAAATACTTCATTTTATTCCTCAGAATTAAATGCAATCAAACAACCAGACGAGTAAATACGGTCTAGTGTAGTAAGATTCACATCAAAAACCAAAATTATAAAATATATGCGCTGCGCGCGAGCCATTCAGTCACACGAACAACATCAATCTCCTCAAAGAAAGAGGGCCGCAGCACTCACTCAGAGGGGGAAGAATCGCAGCGCGGGCTTCCAAGTCCCGAGAACGAGCTCAAGATCTAGCGAACACGGGTGGAGATAGGAAGAGCCGTCTCCAACCCGTCTGCTAGATCATGAGCGATCTCCGCATTCTCCGTAGCCGCCGTGCCTCAGCAGCAGCGGGACCGCAATCGCAAGATCACAGTCATGGACACACTCCTCGGAGCGTGCCTGGCCAGAGCAGAGCGCTTAACAGCGAAAGCGGGGCCGGCACCGCGAGGAACGCTAGTGAAGGCTTCCTCCTCAAAGAGAGCCCTCTGAGAGCGAAGCAAGGCAGTAACAACTATGCTTTGCTCCCAAGCAAACCACACACTGGCTGTGTGTATCCCCACTCGTGATATAATGTTTTCTTTGGGCAGGGAGGAACACACAACCTACAACGTGGCTTGCTCTCACCCTTGAAATGCTTTGTCTTTGCATGAGCTTAGACATAGCTGGAGCTTATAGACTTTCACAATTGACAGACAACAATAAATATGACTGACACACACAGAGCGCTTCGCTGAATGACAGAAAGCTGACGCTGGCTCCGCCGCACGTGTGTTTATAGCTTCCTGGTCATGACGTCACCACGTCCCGCCGTCCCGCTCAGCTATTGGACTGATTTCACATGTTATTCAGAGCGTGGTCACAGAAGGCGTTCCCCTAGCAGGAACTCATGAACTCATCAGGTTCAATATGTTGTCTAGTACGGTAATTTCAGAAATGACATCGAAAATATTGCACCAAAAGCTTTGAAGACTGGGACATAATGCATAACTGTGAAACTGTCTCAGCCGTCCTGCATTTGTCACATTTTGAAGAGACACCTGGAAATATTCTAGCTAATTTTGTCTTAGAGTAGTGCAGTCTATGCAAGATTTTGAACTGGATGAGGCAGTGTCTGAAGTTTATAGAACATCTATTAATCTCTTCCAGGCTATCCGCCCATAACTCATTGGAAATTTCTGACCCTAATTCTTCCTCCCATAAACTTTTGATTGAAGATGTAGTAGGTAATTGGGAGGCCTGGAGAGTATTATAAATGCAGGAAATAATTTTCCCTTTACCAAAATAGTCCTTAAGGCAGGTGTCAAGACATGAAGGGCTAATTGTTGCAAATCTGTTTAAGTAGGATTGTACATAGTTCCTGACTTTTTTAAATTTTTTAAATTACTTCTACGAAGTTTGTATTTTTCCTGAATTTTTTCAAAGGAAATAAAGGTACCATCTTGAAACAGATCGCTTACTGTGTGAATTCCTGCATCTCTCCATTGCTGGAAAACCTTTATCTAATATGGAAGGTATAAAAGAGGGGTTGTCAGCTATGGGAATTAGTCTTCACCCCAAAATGAGTTCTAATTTGTTTCCAAATACGAATAACACTGCCAATGACAGGGCTGCTGCTGTAGATTTCTTTTTTACAGCTTGTTGGTGAAAGAATCACAGCACCAAGATTATACAGGGGTACATTCATCTTGTTCTAATCTGAGTCAGTCAAGTTGTCCGCTTTTATCGTTTAATATTATTGATATCATTCTGAGGTTAGCCGCCCAGTAATAGCAGCGGAAGTCTGGAAAGGCAAGACCCCCTACATTTCTAGGTTTGGAGAGATGTAGTTGTTTAATTCTATGGTTTTTATCATTCCAAATAAAGGGTAAAATAATTTAATCTAGTTGCTTAAAAAAGGACTTGGAAAGAAATAGAGGGGTGTTTTGTAACAGATACAGTAGTTGCGGGAGAAAAATCCATCTTGATGGCATTTATTCTACCTATTAACGAAATAGGAAGAGTCCTCCAGAACTGAATATTTCTTTTAAATTTTTCTAAAAGGGGGGCATAGTTGGCTACTCATAGCAAGCAAAATTACCTAGTAACGATTCCTAGGTAGGTAAATCTGTCTTTAGCTATTTTAAACCGAACTGAGAAAATTTGTGAAAGATCTTTAAGCCCAACTGGCACGAGTTCACTTTTGTTTAGATTAATTCTATAGCCTGAAAATGAACCGTATTGTTCAATCACCTTTAAGATTACAGGGATACTGGACGCAGGTTTAGTCACATATAATAAGACGTCGTCTGCATATAAAGAAATTTTATTCATAGTTGTTTTAGTACAGAGCCCATGAATTCTCTCATCAGAGCGGATGGTTTCCGCTAGAGGCTCAATGGCCAGGGCAAAAAGAAGGGGAGGAAGTGGGTAACCTTGTCGAGTACCCCTAAATGAAGCAAAAGATGGTGATAAAATTCTATTTGTGAGTATACGTGCCCTAGGATTTTTATATAGATTTTTGAGCCAAGTGATTAATTTCTCTCCTACTTGGAATTTTTGTAGCAGAGCGAAGAGGTAAGGCCACTCTACTTGGTCAAAAGCCTTTTCGGCATCTAAGGACAAAATCACCAGATCGGATCGATTAGTCTGGGAAGAGTATACAATATTAAACAAACGACGAAGATTATTAAAAGAACTACGACCTGAAACAAATCCGATCTGATCAGGATTCACTAGTTTTCCTAAAAGCGTATTGAGTCCAGTGGCTAATGTCTTTGCTAAAAATTTTTGATCCACATTAATGAGAGATATTGGCCTATACCCCCCCCCCACCTCCTCTGGATCTTTGCCCTTCTTAGGTAGGACTGTGATTACCGCTTCATTAAATGACTGAGGTAGTCGTCCCACCTCCAGAGCCTGGGAGAACATTCTAAGCATATAGGGTCCCAATTGATTGTTAAAAGTTGTATATACCTCGCAAGGGATTCCGTCAGGGCCGGGTGATTTACCTCCTTTAAGTGACTTTATGGTGTTCTTTAATCCATCTAATGTTAAATCAGCTCCAAGAAATTCTCTATCCTCTTGTTCCAGCGTTGTTAGATTAAAGCTATTTTAAAATGTCTCCATAGTGGAAGAATCATCAGTTATATTACTAGTGTACAATGATTCAATAAATTGTTTAAATCGATTATTAATTTCTGTAGGAGATAATAAATAAGCCCCGAATTTTGATTTGATTCGATGGATTGTACGGTCACTTTCCAGCTTTCGTAGCTGTCTAGATAATAGTTTGTGTGGCTTATCACCAAATTCTAAATATTGTTGTTTCATAAACATTAAAGATCTTGAAAACTTTTCTGATATAATCTGATTGTATTGATATCTAAGATTTAATATTTTCTTGTGTAGTTCTAAAGAAGGTTTTGTAGCATTCTCGTTATCTAATTTACTAAGCTGTCTTTCTAATGATTGTAAAGCCATTGTATTTTGTTTATTTCTTGCACCCTTAAAGGAGATAAAGTTCGCTGGGTACAGAAATCCGAAGCGGACCCCTGGACGATCTCGAAGTAGGTCTTTTGCATTTAAAGAGACATGCACGAAAACAGTGTGTTTCTTCCTCCAGTCAAAATAAGCATTTTCAAAATGATGTAATAAATGATCTGTGGGGTATTTTGAGCTGCAACTTTACAGACACATTCTGGGGACACTTGAGACTTATATTACATATTGTGAAAATGGGCATAATAGGTCTCCTTTAAGAATTAAGGGTATGTAAATTTTTGAACTGGTTCATTTATATAAATTTGGTTATTTTTTCTTGAGGACAATATGTAAACATCTTTAGAATATAGTTGTTAAAATGCAAACAAAATTAAATTGCCAAAGAAAATGTTATAAATCCATTGATTTGTTTGTAATTGTTTTTTCAGTGGCCATTTGTGAAGACATGTGTAAGACCATCATTGCAACTGGTGTCCTCCTCTCCATTGTCTCCATCATCCTGTCCTGGTACTTTATCCACCGTTATCAGAAGAGCACACCTAAACCTCCCATCGCCTCAGCTGAAATGACTTTCCGCCGACCAGCCCAATCCTACCCAATCAGTTACTCAGCGAATAATGTTCGTCGAGCTTCTCTAGATTCCATGGAGAATCAGGTGGCCATTGAAACCTTCAAAATACCCGTAAGTCTTGCTCATTGTCTTTACTTAGTTAATTCATGCATGTTGATGTTTTTGGTATAAATGGAACTGATTAATGAAATTATTATTAAAGGGGTCATATGATGCTGGTAAAAATAACATTATTTTGTGTATTTAGTGTAATGAAATGTGTTTATGCGGTTTAAAGTTAAAAAAACACATTATTTTCCACATACTGTACATTATTGTTTCTCCTCTATGCCCCTTTTTGAAATGCGGTGACTTTTACAAAGCTCATCGGTCTGAAAAGTGAGGTGTGATCTGATTGGCCAGCTATCCAGTATGTGATTGGCCAAATACCTCAAGCATGTGACGGAAATGTTACGCCCCTTGCCATACTGTTGATGCCGTGTCCCGGCCGGAGCGACAAGACAAAAACATTAAAACCCATTACAAACGAGGCATTTGTTGCATCCAGTGGGGACATAATTACTGATTATAATGACTTATACTGTCTTTTTATGCGTTGCGTTAACTTTTATAAAGAATATCTCTTTGGATTTGAGACTTTAGTCTTTGCAACTTTACAGATCTTCTTTATGCACCAAGAGCTTGTAACACTCCAAAGAGAAAGGAAAAATTTAAATAGCATCATATGACCCCTTTAAAGAGATTGTTTGATGTGTAACGATTTTGAACATTTCTGTTAACAGGAAGATCCAAAGTGGGAGTTCCCACGAAAGAACCTAGTGCTGGGTAAGACTCTTGGAGAGGGAGAGTTTGGGAAGGTTGTGAAGGCCACGGCTTTTCGCCTCAAAGGAAAAGCTGGATACACTACAGTTGCTGTGAAGATGTTGAAAGGTTTGCAACTTTGAGGCAGATTTGATCAATCACTAAAAACTGGATTCGTTTTAAAAATAGTATAATGCATGCATTTTTTTTACCACAGAAAATGCATCTCACAGTGAGCTTCGAGACCTCCTGTCAGAGTTCACATTGCTCAAGCAGGTTAATCACCCTCATGTAATAAAAATGTATGGAGCTTGCAGCCAGGATGGTAAGAAAAACTGTTTAATGTGGCATGCATTTGTGTTTGCTTTTTTGCTCTGTGTGCTTATACAAGCTCATCTGTTCAGGTCCATTATACTTAATCGTTGAATATGCCAAGTATGGCTCACTGCGGAACTTTTTGAGGGAGAGCCGGAAAGTTGGACCAAGCTACATGGGCAATGATGCCAACCGCAACTCCAGCTACTTGGAAAACCCAGATGAGAGAGCTCTGACCATGGGAGACCTCATCTCCTTTGCTTGGCAGATCTCCAGAGGAATGCAATACCTGGCTGAAATGAAGGTCTGTCAGCAGTTTAGGGAATGTCCATCACAGAATATATACCGTTTTAAAGAATGATGTTATAATAAGAGGAAATATGTTTAGCTTGTTCACAGAGACCTGGCTGCCAGGAATGTGCTGGTGGCAGAGGGAAGGAAGATGAAAATATCCGACTTTGGTTTATCTCGAGATGTTTATGAGGAAGATTCATATGTGAAGAGGAGCAAGGTGATATATTTTGTCTAATTTGTTTCGTTTTAACTAGTTACATCCTATGTTTTACAGATGTTTGAATATTTGTACTCTAGAAACCTTTGGATGTCACACACATGTAATGCAGTTTTACATTTGTTAGACTTAATAGTTTGTCATAATGTGCTCTCGATTTCTAGGGTCGTATTCCTGTTAAATGGATGGCAATAGAATCTTTGTTCGATCACATCTACACCACACAAAGTGATGTGTAAGTTATGCAACACATGCTTCCATACAGACAGTCACCAATTTATATTTAGCATGTCTGAATACACTGAAATTGGGTTTATGATTTACTCAGAAATTGCTAGTAAATTTCACGAATAATTACAAAGAAATGTCAAGTAATACATTAAATTATGAAGAACAAACAAAAAAAACATTTTTTAAAGTGAGGACTTATTCCATTACAACTTTACAGTACAATCTCTCTCTGTTTTCTTTCATTAGCTGGTCTTTTGGTGTCCTCTTATGGGAGATTGTAACTCTGGGTGGAAACCCCTATCCAGGCATTGCTCCAGAACGTCTTTTCAACCTTCTGAAGACGGGCTACAGGATGGAGAAACCAGAGAACTGCACGGATGAAATGTGTGTTTAATAGTAAACATCAGTTGAATGTGTTCTAGATTTAAGAGCTGAATGAACAAATCATTTTCTAAAACCACCATGTCATCATGTGATATATATATCATTTTAACATGACTTTAGCATGTCTCATATAATAATTACTAACACAGCATGTACTTAATTTCACTTAAAGGTATCAGTTATTTAGAGATGTTCTGTATCAGGTGATGAATGCTCTGTTATGTAATGTAGGTACAATCTGATGCTTCGCTGTTGGAAACAAGAGCCAGATAAGCGTCCCACTTTCTCAGACATCAGCAAAGAACTTGAGAAGATGATGGTGAAAAGTCGAGTAAGAACAACAAATAATTTCTCTCACATACAATCACACAGAAACAAATCCACACAAATCAAAACACAGCTTGAGCTAAACCTGACTGAAGTCAAACATTCCAATCAAAATAGCATTTACATACTAATTACTATATATATGTATCAGAGTTTTGTGGACTGGTGTGAAATAAATGGTCTTAGGCTTAATGCTAGGAAGACCAAGGAAATTGTGGTTGATTTTAGTAGATATCCTCATCAAGTGGTGCCAGTGAATATACAAGAGTCAGAAATTGAGATTGTCACGCCATATAAGTACCTGGGTGTATATTTGAACAACAAGCTTGATTGGTCTGACAATACGATACAGGTTTATAAGAAGTGTCAGAGTCGCATTCATTTATTAAGGCGACTGAGATCCTTTGGTTTATGTCCGGTCACTGTTGAAGACCTTCTTTGATTCTGTAGTATCATCTGTGATGGGGAGGGGGATTGTTGGAGAAGGAGAAGAACAAACTCAATAAGCTGATAAAAAAACGTCAGGTTCTGTTGTGGGTTGTGTGTTACCCACTATTGATGAGATAGCACAGGATAGAATGACTGATAAATTGGTCAGTATAATCAATCAAGATTGTCATCCTCTTCATGAAACAGTTCGAGCCTGTGTGAGTTCTTTTAGCTCAAGATTAATTCATTTTTACCAACAGCTATTAGATTATATAATCAATGTCATATTAGATGGTTGATGTAGAATTTTAAATTGCATTTTGTATAACATGGCGTAAACAAGGGGGGCTGTATGAAATACAGTATCGTGCAATATTTTAATTTTTTTATTTATTCTATTTTATCTATCTATTGTGTGGTGAGCTTTGCTGTGACATGTGAATTTCCCTTTGAGATTAATAAAGTCAATCAAATCAGATCAAATACAGACATTACGATTCAAAAGTTTGGGGTCAGTTTTTTTTAAGAAACTAGTACTTTTATTCCATCAGGGCACATTAAATTAATCTAAAGTGATGGTAAAATCTTTTTTCAAGTAAATGCTGTTCTTTTGAACTTTCTATTAATCAAAGAATAATAATAAAAAAATGTATCACAATTTCCATAAAAATATTAAGCAGCATAACTGTTTTCAACATTGATAACAATTATAAGTGTTTCTTGAGCACCAAATCAGCATATTAAAACAATTTCTGACCATTTCTGAAGGTTCATGTGACAATGAAGACTAAAGTAATGGCTGCTGAAATTCAGCTTTTCCATCACAGTTATTTTCAAGATGTAATAATATTTCACATTATTACTGTTTGTTTATTTATTTATTTATTTTAAATGTATTTTTAATCAAATAAATGCAGCCTGATTTAGCATAAGAGACTTTTTTCAAAATTATTTAAAAATCTTGCCAGCCCCAAAATTTTGAATGACAGTCTATGTTTATTCATTTATGTTGTCATAAAGATGAAAATTCTCCAAGATAAGTGACCATGTGAAATTAAAACAATGGAAATAGATTTGTTGTATCATAAATATATAACAGTAGATTATACATTATTAATATGGATATATCAGGTTTTTTTTACTAACTATTCTGAAGATAAAGAGCGAGGCACTACAGGCTGTTGAAATTATTTTATATATTTTTATCATATTGTCTGGTCTACTTCTTTTTTTTTTTTTACTGTTTTTTTCTGTGCTTAGTCGAAATATACTGATAAAGAAAATATTAATTATTTTAATCTTCATTTTAGGTGAGTTATTTCTCTTAAAAGAGGAATATTGTGCAAGCAGGATGCCAGTTTGTCAACAGTATATTCTTCCATCTCTGAGGAATCTGAGCATGTTTAGTGTGTTGTAGTGTGAGAGGAGCATGATTACAAGAGAAATGTGACACTACCGCACTCCCTCCGCTTCACTTGGGAATGGATTAATGTGAAAGACTTCATCCTTCCTAAAGGTTACATCTAGTCAGGGTGGGAATGCAAAACGGTGGCTGGTAAAGAGCACCCTGCCTCTCAGATATGCCCAGACGGGGGCTTCCTCTGCAGGGGCGGGCGCGCTGGCTTCTCCTGGGGATATTTTTGCTCCTTGTACTGCTGCTGTTTGCTTACCTGCTGGAGTGTACGCCGCCTGCAGATGTAAGCCAGGTGCTGCCTGGCCTTGGAGGAGATCCGTATGGAAAGGAGTATTATCAGGCCCTCCTGCAGGAACAGGAAGAGCGACATCTCAGCCGAGCGGCCAGCCTCAAGAGGCAGATCGCGCAGCTCAAACAAGAACTCCAGGAGATGAGTGAGAAACTGAGGGTACTTCAAGAAAAAAAGGAGGGTCCCGGGCCCCAGAGCCTGATCGATGGCAGAGATCAAGAGCCTGGTGACCTCTTGGAGTATTTGCACTCACAAATTGACAAGGCGGAGGTGAATACAGGAGCGAGGCTGCCAAGCGAGTACGCACTGGTGCCCTTCGAGAGCTTCACCACCACAAAAGTGTACCAGCTGGAGATGGGCCTGACGCGCCACCCTGAGGAGAAGCCTGTGCGGAAGGACCGGAGGGATGAGCTGGTGGAGGTGATCGAAGCAGGTTTGGATATTATTAATAACCCAGAGGAAGATGACGGACAGGAGGACAACATCCCCATGCAGAGGCAGATGTTCACCGAAAGCCATTTTTTTGAAGGTAAAAGCTGTTCAGAAGAAGTATACGCTACTTTATGTACTTAGCGCACCATGTGGTTAGGGATTTGTGTGTGCTTAACCGCTCTTGTTTGTATTTGAGAATAATAAAGGTGGTGTGAGCTTTGCACAGCACAAAATATTCAGTAATTCGAGCTGCTCTTGTGTACTTGCTATTCTTGGCAGGACTCTACAGGACCGAGAGGGACAAAGGCACACTGTATGAGCTCTTCTTCGCTAAAGAGAATTCCCACGAGTACCATCACGTCACCCTCTTTCGTCCGTTCGGGCCCCTCATGAAAGTGAGGAGCACGTCTGTAGACACCGCCAGCACCGTCATTAACATCATAGTGCCGCTGTCAGGCCGCACTGAAGCTTTTGTTCAGTTCTTGCACAACTTCAGGTGAGGAGGTCACTGTAGGATTTGTGGTCATTTTTTGTAGTAATGATGTTTTTGTAGGCCAAATGGAAGTTAGCATATTTTTTGTCATTTTTGTTTTTTTCAGTTAGCTGTTGTATAATTGTAGAAAACAAGCTGTATGACAGACGGAAGTTTATGATTCTTACACATTTTTTTTATCATAAAATTCTTCGCAAATAAACAACTTTATGAATTGTAAAGCTCAAGTACAATTGCCAGAAGTAGAAAGCTAAATGTAGGCTATAAACGAGCTACACCACAGTCACATGACTTCAGCCTCTCCACCATTAAGTTTCTGACAACTCTTTCAGTCTTTATTTAAAATACATTTTCCCTGAAAGTTTGAGTTGTTTGCAAGATTGTGATAACGAGGCTGTAAAAGCAGCTAGTGAGTAAATGAGTTTACGTTTAATGTCCCCAACAACCTCTATAGTCAAATTTAGCCACTTACTAGCAACCGATTTTTTTCAAGACAGTTCAAATCTTTAAAAATCACAAGGGAGTTTGTAACCACAGAACATATTTGAGGCATTTAACCAAAAATAATTTCAGAAAAACCCATTGACTTCAGGAGACTGAAACTGCAAGTTCTGAACTTGTTTCTAGGTTTCAGCCTAAAAATACATTATGTCTGCAGCACACTGCTAATGAAATTGAGATGAAATTCCACAGCAAAAAAGATCCATTGTCAAAAGTCACTTTCAAACCAAGTCGAGTCAAATTGCAACTTGAACTCGAGGCAAAATCTATGTGGGGAAATTTTTCATTTTTACGCATGCATAACTCCTGATTGTGCAAATTGACATTTCGAACAAAAATTTTCAAAGAGCGTGTAAGAGAGATTCTGGGATCATATCTGGGAATGTGTGTCAGTGTGTTTTTGTGTGCTGCAAATAATATGGTTAAACTTCTAAAGATGTGTGGGTAGCGGCAACATGGAGCCAGTTTCCCAGTGTGGTTTTCCCTTTGGAAGTTTTGGAAATGTTGTGGTCAGACTGCGTTTTCTGTGTGCAGGGAGGTTTGTATACAGCAGGACAAGCGGGTGCATCTCACAGTGGTGTATTTTGGCCAAGCGGGCTTGCAGGAGGTGAAGGCGTCTCTGAGGAAAATGTCCAGGTTTGAGCTCTGCAAATATTCAGAAATTTTAGGAGCATAGCTTGACTTGAAACTTTCTCTGTTTGCCAACATCCTGAATGGAGAAACTGAAAGGAAAGGAATTTGCTGTTTACCCATCTAAGTGAGGCAGTTGAAATGTTCTTTTTAAACGTGGTATTTTTTTTGACTAGCAGGAAATATGCTTGCTTTTTCTAAATGATTAAGGCATGTAATCTGTTTAAGTACACTACCAAGTTTGGGGTCAGTAAGATTTTTTATTTATTTTTATTAGAAATTAATACTCAAGTATGCATTAAATCTATCAGTGATGAGAAAGACATTTACAAATTTCAAATAAATGCTGGTCTTTTGAACTTTTCTGTACATCAAAACAATCCTTGATAAAGTAACAGGGTTTCCAAGGCTGTGGGTTCCAGGAATGCCATAATATAGAACATGTCATATTTTAATATGCTAGTTCAATTAATGTGGAGCATTTTACGGTCATCTTCAAAAATCTAAATGTACTGATACCCGTTTCACATTAGGCGGAGCATTTCCATTGGTCACTGGACCTGATGAAAGTGAGCCAGTCTTCTGATTGGACAGCAGATCAAAAAGTATCAAAGAGCCTACAAATTAGGGGAAATTAAAAGAAAATTGTAATGAAAAATATTAATGTAGTTCAGTTCAGTACAGTACATGGTGTTTTTTTTACAAACTATCAGTGAGCTCTTATAGACGTTCAAGATCATTTAAGACCTTGAATCAGAGTTATGTAAAAGAAAAGGATTCTCACCCAAGCTGTGTCCAGCCACGGACACTCTGCCTTTGAAGTCTGGCTTTCTTTGCATGAAAAGTGCATGTAAGCGGTTGATCTCAAAAGCCACGGTGTCCATAATGGTCTGGCAGTAGGTTGGGCTGTTGTAGAAGAGAACATCTAAGAGGGTTTCATTAGTGAAGTGACGTAAACGACCTGTGCTGGGCAGAGTAATCTTCTTTATCCTCCTATTGATGATTAAAAACATAAAAGACAGTTTTTTTGTAAAAAAATAAATAAATACATAAGACGTTTATGATAAAACAGACAACATGAATTTAGGCAGAACAGGATGGAGATTTCAAGTTCATAGCAGCAACAAGAGGAAAGGAAAACTTCCTGACAACATATTTTTTTCAGTAACCTTAACAAAGTCGATTTTTAGACCAATATTTTTTATAATTTTTCCAGAGAAGGACAAGTAAATTTAATACGAGTTAATGGATTTTATCATTATACTTCCATTCAAAAGTTTGGGGTGGGTAAGATTATTTTCATGTTTTTGAAAGACGTCTCTTAAGCTCACCAAGGCATTTATTTGATCAAAAACACAGTAAAATATGTATAACATAATTGCTATTTCAAATAACTGCTTTTTACATTAATATATTTTGAAATTTAATTTATTGTCATTATGGAAAAGCTGAATTATCATTTTACTCCAGTCTATATTTATTCCATGTATTCCAGTCAGTCACATGATTCTTCAGAACTCATTCTAATATGCTGATTTGCTGCTCAAGAAACACCTCACAATGTTGAAAATGGTTGTGGTGATTAATATTCTTTGGAGAATTGCGATATTTTTTTTCAAGATTATTTAATGAATAGAAAGAACAAAAAAACACTTCTACAAAAACATTATAAAAAATATATTATAATATATATATATATAATATTTTATAATGCGTATATATATATATATATTATTTAAAAAAACTTCCATAACATTATAAATATCTTCTTTACTATCACTTTTGATCAATTAATTAAACTCTGCTAAATATAAACATCTGTTTCTTTAAAAAAAATGATCACAAACTTTTGAATGGTAATAATGGTATGCTTTGAATATATATTATATTTAAATTCCATTTTGGTGGCTGAAGGATCCGTTTTAGGCCTCATATACAGCTTTCAAGTAAACCCTCTCTTGAATGTGGCTGAACGTTGTGTCTCTACCTGTCTACCCCTGTGGCATCACCATGCAGAGCTGTGTGCCAGTGCACAGGCAGAAACTCCACACGACTAATCAGATGATCATCACGGGCCTTCTTGAAATGACTCTGCAACAACTTCAAGGACACGCTGCGGAAGTCATCCACTGTGAATACAAACACAGTCTGCATTCACACAGAAACAATAAATGGCCTAAATCAAGATTTTATAACTGCAATTTTCAAAGACAGTTTTTATCTGGACACTAAACTAGTGTAACATACCACACTCCACCATGCTCCTAAACCTCAGGTCACAGACGGGGCCTATGCCATGCACCATAAACACAAGATGATCCACCTGAGGCATTTCACCTACACGGGAAAACAATATTCTTCAATAATTCAGGCACGTTATGCATTCTCCCTTAAATAATACCTAATAATCTTGAGATTGAGGGCTGTTTGACATTTTAAAATGTAGAGGATTTTAAATTGCAAAATACCTTACCTCACTTAGTTAGGCTGGATAAATCAGAAATGAGAACTCTGAGGTTAAAAGACACATTTACCATCAGGAACTTCATCCTGATCATCGTCCACACCCCTCTTGACGACCCGAGGTCGGGTCTGACCATCCTGTGTCGTGCCCCATTCATCAGGCATGGCAGACGGCTGAAACTGCACAATCACCTGAGGAGGAACCAATCAGATTTATGCTACACAACCGTCATTCCTCTCTAGATTCCATTCTTACTAAAAACATTTCATAATGTTGTACCTTTGGATTGTGCATTACGATGGTCTCACCAGAAGGGAATTCCAGTCGCCGGTGCCACTGATTAGTGGTAACAGCTTTCTTATATTCTGCCTGTTTAACATCGAGCAGTTCAAAGTTGCCTTCTGATAGTCCATTTTATGAATACTGTTGAGAAAAATGTATAGGGGAGCACAAACCTCCAGCTTCTCACTAAAGTCTTCTGAATAGGGGATGAAGCGGCTGTCTGCGTCTCCTTTGTAGAACCAGGTACAGCGGCGGACCTCAGTGGGATCTTCCTCCCAGTACAAGGCAGTCCGTGTGCGGTCATACAGCTGCACATCATAGCGCCCTCCGTCCGTACACACTATCACATTCTCTGGATCTGGCTGAACTGAAGCAACAGATTATGAAATAGACTAAGAGTGGCCACATGCTCTTGGCATACATAGAAAAACACAATTCAGTTAATCTCAAACTAATTAAATTACAGTGACAGAGGCAGTTCCACTTAGCCTCAAACCAAGTTATCCTAAAAGTAAACAGCAGACTTCAAACATCAAAAGCCTAAGAACTAATATCAAAATACTGGCAGAGCCTTGTAGAGTCATTCCTGCCAATGTAAGTGGGTTTGACGAAAACACTTTCTGTCTTACCGGAGTTAAATGTTTCTTCCAACTGAATGGAATCCAGAATACTAAAGGGAAGCCAGACCATCTTTGACTCCACTTGTTTGCAGTAGAACCAGTGAGGTTGAACAGGTTCATAAACATTGTATGCATATGGCACCATTGAGTTGGCAGGGACTAATGGTCCGGTCATGCTGGCCGTTGTAGGGGGTGGTGGAATCTGTGTTGGGGGAGGCTGAAAAATAGCAAAACACTATAATGACCAAATACAATTCCTTTTTAAAACGGTTACAAAATATGCCAGTTTTTAAACATGCTTAAAAAGACAGTTGATTGATTTCTTTCTTTCTTTAGGGTTGCACCAGTATTACATATTCTAGTTTATATAAATCTGATCCGATTATTATGTAATAGCTAACAACCCACAAACGGCCGATATTAAAATTCAATTCTATTTTGTCCAAAAAAAAAAAAAAAAAAAGAAATCCCAAACTAAAAACTAGTAGAAGAATTTAGTTATCACAGCATTTTATTGTATCACTGCTGTTAACTCAAATGTAAAACTAAAATGTTTTTGGTAATAGAAATAAAGCTAAAATAAAATCAATTATAAATTATATGAAAAACTTAACTTTAAAAAACAAATGAAAATGTTTGTGAAATAAGTTGAAGTACTAAAATGACTAAATTAATTAAGGCTATATATTAATATTAAAAGAAAGAAAAAAGAAAAAAGTGAAGAAAAAAAACATGACAAAAGAACAAAATACTAAATTACTAAAACAAACTACAATCAAAACTTAAAATATAAGAACCTATTAATTCAAAATATTACTAAATATTATAATGGCACATAGATACTAAAACAGCACTGTATTTTATAGTAAGAAACTTTTGTGAGTATTAGATCTACAAAGCAGGAAATGAGTAGGAATAATCAAATATCCACTACTGGCCAATATAAATTAAATATAAACTAATACCAATAATAAAAAAAGTCTAATAATTTAAATTTACAGATAACCGATATGGTAGAATATATAATGCATCCTCAAGATTATAACTGAAGTCAGTCTGTGAACAGCTCTAATAGTGGCAGCAGACGATATTTCAAATATGACAGAGCCAGTAAAATCCAACTATAAATTTAAGCGCATAGTGATTAAAAGACAAATATGACATTACATGACCAACCTTGTTGAACGCTGTGGGTGGAGTCTGGAACGAGGGAGCAGGTGTGGCCTGAGAATAGGGGTTTAGATGCTGGGGTGTTTGGCTGGGGGGCTGCTGCTGTAATTCAGGAGCCATGAGGTACGGACTAGCTTTGCTACTGGCAGCTGTGTGACGGTATGGATTATAGGACTGCTGGGAGCTCTGGGTAGGAGGAGGAGGAGTCAGTGCATTAGGTGGATGAGTGTATGTACTCCTAGGGGTTTGATTAGTAACACTGCCATACTCCTGAATGTGTTTCATTTGAGATATTGGTGGGTTTAGAGGCAGGCTAGCTGCAGTGGATGCAGGCGACGGGCCTGTTGTTGATGGAATAACGGTGGCAGCTGGAGGCGGGCATGGCTGCTGCCCTATAGATGCAAACGGGTCGCTGCTGTTAGTCGTGTTGGAAAAATAATTGAACGTAGAGGCTTGAGGAGCTGCTGATGACATCTGACCAAGAAAACTGTCTTCTTCTCCAACTTCACTGGCATCATCTTTACAGAGGATGACATGAAAGAAATGCACAGAAAATTAGTCTTAAATATAATTGTTTTGTTTGGCATTAAAGCGCTATGAGCATTTGATTTTCTTTATTAAGAAATGTAGAAAAAATACATAAGTGTGCATTTAGGCTGTAATACTGCCCTAGATTTAATGAATCCTCCTACAAAAATAGAAATCCTCAAATTTAAATAAATAAATAAATAAATAAAAATCAATCTACTAAATTCAGAGTTGAGCCGAGGATTTTTGAACTCCTCACAGGTGCAATATGAAAAGAGGAGCTTCAGGATAAAGACTGACTTTGATCTTTCCTGATTGTATAAATGTTTTCATAAATATCTGACAGTTTTTATAAAGAGGATGTTTTAATGAATCCTCCTACAAAAATAGAAATCCTCAAATTTAAATAAATAAATAAATAAAAATCAATCTACTAAATTCAGAGTTGAGCAGAGGATTTTTGAACTCCTCACAGGTGCAATATGAAAAGAGGAGCTTCAGGATAAAGACTGACTTTGATCTTTCCTGATTGTATAAATGTTTTCATAAATATCTGACAGTTTTTATAAAGAGGATGGTTTTTTTTTTTGTTATGGCATATGGCATTTTTAAAACGAACCTCTTCGTTTTGTCAGGTAATAGCAGTCGTGGTCCTTTAAAAGGTACATATGACACTTCTGTGTTTCTACAATATTTCATGCAATTAAGTCTAGGCTTGATGACAGGTGGTTTAGGGGATAGTTAGTGATAATGTAATCTCATGGCACGTTTGAGTAGTGACCTCTGATTAATTTCACACCGTAAATGCTACCTGTTATGACATATTTTGCCACGTATATAAACATAAGTGTAACGTCAACTGTTCGTTTACTAATCAAGCAAATAATATCAATGCAAATATTCGCTAAAGAATTGACAACGGTAAACAATGCTTGTTTATGTTTACTGGATATCAGAGTAAAATAATCTTACAGAAAGCATAAGCTTATTATCATAAAGAGCAAAGACCTTTGAGCTGAAAATAGAGGAAAGCTAACATCACGAGCCACTAAAGCAGCTCATTTGAAGACTTTCTAAGCTCACCTCCGGATAAAACCGCGGGGCCGGTGGCCTGACTGACAGGTATGAACGGCAGGCTGAAGTTGAACTCCGGAGCCGCTGAAAACAGCAGATTTGCGCTGCTGCTGGGGATGTTATTGGCTTTCCTATCAGCCATTTTCAATCAAATATTACACGTAGCTTGTCCTCCAGCAGGAACGGGCAGAGCTTCTTTTTCACAACACTTCCTGGTTCGTCACGGCTGAGCTAAAAGGGCTCTCTAGATTTTCGCAGATTTTCACTTCATTGACCGCATGAAAGTTTCATATAATAATCAGCTCTGACGCACAGCACATGATATACAGATCTGCGTGACGTTGACGTACCAAGGCAAAAGTAATCAATGACACACAACATCGAAAACGTCTAACGTAATCTAAAAACACGAGATGCTGGAAAATAAGACACTTCCAAACAAAAACACTCTCACTTTCAAGCGCTCATCAATTTTTACTTCAAATGTGTAAAAAATTACTTCTTACTTGAGTAAGTTTGTTCAATAAATGTCCATTTTATGGAAACTCTTGCAATCATCAATTATTTTCATACTTGAGCACAAATAACTTATTATGAATATGTTATTATTAACATATTATAATTTCGTATAACTTATTTAATAATAATAATAATATAATAATACATTTATATATAGAGAGAGTTTTTTGATTGAGCCATTGTACGTATCGGTGAACTACTGTCTAGTCTTCTCAGGGCAGTGCGCGCTGCGCCCTGGTCACGTGGTAGTTTTCATGACGCAATTTTCCCGCCACGGTGTATTGTGCCCCGCTGAACTGCGGAACGTGCTTGTTACAGTACATGTCAAAGGAGTATTAGTTTTACATTTTGTGTGTTTCAAAATCCTGCAGCGATGCCTACGGTTCATGACTGGATCAATAACCCACTGGCTGTTGTTGATGGGCTGTTCGGTAAGACACAGCAGTCAATTTGGTACTTAAGTACTTTTAAAAGCAAGTACTTCTGTACTTTTACTTTAGTAAAAATCTGTCTTTACAACTTTTACTTGTAATGGAGTAATATTTGACCAGCAGTATCTGTACTTTCACTCAAGTAATGGAGTTGTGTACTTTGTCCGCCTCTGTTTGATACTAATGCATGCAACGTTAGTTCACAGAGGAGCACGTGATCGTCATGATTTGCAACGCTTTGTAAATCAGTTTACATGTACTGGCCAGCATTACACTGTAAATAACCAAGTATAAACTACTTTTCTAACATGTGACTATGCTTTGTGTTCCTACAGCCCAGAGTAACTCCAGTCCAGACTGGGAGAAGAAAGTTGTGGAGTATTTCAAAGAGAAACTGAAACTAAACGACGCTCATACATGGGTAAGTAAGTTAGCTGTTAAAATCCTATCTCCTCTGACATATTATATTGACACATATGAATGGTTTTATGCGGTATTCTTGCAGAAATAAATGTGTGCTTATGTTTAGGATAGTGTCTAGTCCACTGTGTGCCGTTGTTTTGACAGATGACATCAATGTTATGCAATAAGCCGGTTCTTTTTCCATGAAAACTGACGCGGGTGTAATCTAGCATGTTATTTTTACAGCTGTGCACAGTTAAATGTGGGGTTGTGATGATTGCCTTAATTATTAGTCAGAAAATTAATGGTTTTAGTAAACCTGTTTGACTTTGGTGTCATTCTTTTTCTGTTTTTTTCCAGGTTCCATCTCTGAATGATGTTCCCCTGTACTACCTGAAGCCTAATAGCCTCGTGAAATTTCGTTGCATGGTCCAGGATATGTTTGATCCAGAATTTTTCATGGGTGTTTATGAGACGAATGATCTCACATCTAACTCTAAAGTACGTACTTCTATGCCTGCCTAATATAATTGCATTTGCCCCATTATTGTTTGAATACTTTCTAACTTGTCCTTAACAGCAGGTGAAATGCGGAAAATACAAAGATATCACAGTGGGTGGGGTGAGTAAATATTTGCCTTAACATATAAACATAGAGCACAGACCAGTGTATTTATATACTAGGTCTGGAGAAGCTGTATCATATTTCAGATCAAATTTATTGGTGTGTTAAAAGCATGTTACATAATTTTCAAAACCAGGGTACAATTTTTCTGACCGGGGTTGATTGAATACAATTAATTAAAAATCACAATATGAAAAGCCAACCAAAAGAAACGGGTAAAACAGCAAATTTTTAACATTAATACTTTTCAAATATTACAAAAAATAAACATGAGAACATATGATTTTTAAAACGGTAACACATATTTGATATGTTCATAAACTGTGAATGTTATGAACACTATATTATAAATGCAATTATAATTATAACTTATAATGTTTCTTCGAATAAAAGAATCTGCCAAATGCATAAATGTAAATAACCCCAGAGTGTAGTTGAAAAATTAGCAAAACAAAGTACAAAAAAAAAAGGTTTTTATGTTCAGCTGTCTTTAACACTGACCTGCGAATTTCATAATTGTAATAGAAAGATTGTACCAACATTTTGCAGGCATATCATGCCACTAAAATTAGTCACAAAATTTTAAGAACATCATAGATTAACGTGTATTCAAAAATGTCAATATGAAATATGTCAGATTGACCTGCAACATAATATAAGAGTTAAACCGATATAAGCAACTGGACTTTTTATATCAGCAGGTGGACTTCAACTCAAGAAACACAGTTACTTCAGAGAGACAGACATTTTATTGTGTCCCCATCCCAGGAGAATCTCAATGGGCCAAAGAAATATCCTTTATATGGTGCCAGAAACCATCTTGTTTACTTCAAGTAAGTTTTCACAGTGTATGATTGTTAGTTTCCCTTGTTCTTATTGACCAATATGGAAGATAAGCGATCTTTAACGGCTCAGAACAGCTACGCAGGTACCAGTCAGGCACGAGTGGTGCCCTCCACTTCCTATGTTCCAAACAGGCATAAGCGCAGCTATGAAGAGGACGATGAGATGGACACGCAGCCCCAACAGTTGAAAGATGTTAGTCAAGGTGAGAAGGAAAAATTAAGTTAATCCGTCTGAAGAATGCAGCTCCAGAATGCAGACATTTTTCCATCTATCTTTTGTTCAAGATTAGATTAGTTTAGATTTGTTCCTTCATCCATGTCATTTTGTAAATTAAAGGGGTCATATGATGTTGCTAAAAAGAACATTATTTTGTGTATTTGGTGTAATGAAATGTTTGAGGTTTAAGGTTCAAAAAACACATTATTTTCCACATAATGTACATTATTGTTTCTCCTTTATGCCCCGCCTTTCTGAAACGCATCGATTTTTACAAAGCTCATTGGTCTGAAAAGTGAGGTGTGCTCTGATTGGCCAGCTATCCAGTGCGTTGTGATTGGCCGAATACCTCAAGTGTGTTACGGAAATGTTACACCCTTTACCATACTGTGATGCCGTGTCCCGGCCGGAGCGACGATTCAAAAACATGAAAACCCATTATAAACTAGGCATTTGTGGCGTCCAGTAGGGACATAATTACGGATTATAATGACTTATACTGACTTTTTACGCATTGCGTTGCATCGCGCCGCATAAACATAAAACCATGTCTGCATTTGTGATCGGAGAAATGACAAACAAGTGCTGCTCTACACTGCTCAAAACTCGCGTTTGAATTGTCAGTGGCAAATTCTTTAAATATAAAAAACGTACTTACAGTCTGTGAGTCAGAACAGCCGGTATTGTAGTCTACTCCACTTCGTCGACGGTGAAAGGCGATCCGGCGATCCACAGCGCGAAGTTGATGTATTTCTTCAGCAACCAGCACGGATTAACTCCAGGCATGACGAAGCGGATATCGTCCTCTTTTGGAAGGCCAACCAAAGTAGTTCAGCTTTCACAACAAAACACTCCGCCTTCACGACATGGATATAGATTTATCGGCCAACATATCGGTTATCGGCTTTCAAAAATAAAGAATAATCGGTTATCGGTATCGGCCAAAATTTTCATATCGGTGCATCCCTAATCTTCTTTATGCACCAAGAGCTTGTAACACTCCAAAGTTTGCATCAAATCACATCATATGACCCCTTTAACAATGATTTACGTTTGTCTCGACAGGAACTCAGAGCTCTGCAGAGTCTCATGGCAACACTGAGCCGAAGCGTCAGGAGACAGAAGCTCCCAGCCACGACTCATCTTCGGCGCACTGCACATCCAGTCTGGACCTCAACTTCCCTTTGCCTGGAGAAAAGGGCCCAGCCTGTCTTGTTAAGGTTTAACTGTTCTTTCATCTTAAACCATCATCTTGACACACTCTCAATTAAAAAAATTTCGTAGATTGTCATTTTTAATGCATACTTTTTAGACTAACACAAAAATCAAGTTGTCTTGAGCAGGCACATGTTAACATTGTAATTTTCTTGCAATAATATGATGGTTCGCTCCATTGAATTGTTCCCCACCTACACAGACAGCCATGTAACTCGGCCATCCTCTGTAATTGGCAGGTGTATGAGGACTGGGACGGTTTCAAACTGAATGACATGTTGGAAGTATTTGGCATCCTTTCTGTGGACCCTGCCTTGAGCGTGATTGCAGATGAGAGGTAGTCTGAGTGTCACTTTGGGATGGTTGTAATTGCAATAAGGGGTTCTCTAACGTTAAACTAATATATTGTTTGTTTCATGTCTTCAGAGAGGCGTCTTCGCTGCTGGACCCCACAGAAGTTACGGAGACTGTGGAGGAGCAAAGAGTTCACAGCCCGCCACCATCCCTCGTACCGCGACTGCATATGCTGTATGCCCAGCCTCTCGTGCACAACAATCCATTACTGCCCTCTAGTGCACCAGAGAATAACGGTGACCGTAAGACATCACTCTTAAGGATCTGTGATAAGGATCTTTTTAAAAAAAAAAATATTATATATTCAGTTTTCATTTTAAGTTTCAGTAATTTTATGCTCATTTGTCATTTATATTTATTTTAAATATTTGCATTTAGATTTAATTTATACTAGTTTATTTTAGTTATTTCAATTTTGTCATTTTATTACTTATACTTTAGTATCAGTTAGCTGCCAAGGCAGCATTTCTAATTTTGTCAGTTCTCATTTAAGTTCAAATAATTTTTAATTTCATGTAATGTTTGTCTAATTTTATTTCAGCTTTGTTCAATAAATGAGACGGTGAAAGGCGATCCGGCGATCCACAGCGCGAAGTTGATGTATTT